AAGACTAACCGTGAGAGACGGAGTTTTTTCTTCGTTCGTTTGCGTATCGCGGGGACGAGAGACGACGCGCCGGGAGTCTTCAATTAGCGATATCGAGGGTGACGTTATATTATCGGGAACGTATGAGAGACGAGAGGTGAGGGTCGCGCGAGGAGGAAATTGTCGTACGAGTATTAATAATGAAAGATTCAATGTGCGATATCAAGGGCAACGGTATCGGGAATGTATGAGATGAAGGTCGTGCGAGGAGGGAATCGTTGTAGGAGTGTTAATAATGACGAGAGAATATTTTATTACTTTATTGTTGTATTATTTTATCAGGAACGTAAAAAGAGGAAAGAGCTATTTGTAGGATGTTGCAGTTAGGCGCGTTCTGTGTCTAGACTTTTTCCGCGGGGATCTAGCGCATCCTATTTTCGCGGCAACGAGAAGGCGCGCGTTCTGATTATGTAGGATGCCGCGCATTTTGTCATTTCGGAATGTCGCAGTTGTCGCGATTTGACGCATTTTCGACGCTGCCTCGGAGTATATATATCTAGTCGTAAGAGGCAGTTGTTTCCATTGTTAAGAACGTGGTATATGGAAGAAGTCGCGCTTAACGGTGGTTTCGTCTTCGAGCGAGAGAGACAATCCGCTTTTACGCGCGTTCGATCGAAACATGACGCATCGCGATCTCGACGACTATCGTTGCGAGTTGATTATCGAGAGTGACGATAGTTTAGAGTGTTACGAGACTATTGAGCTTGGCAACGACGAGGAATGGATCGTGACGAGAGAAGATGTTCGCTGGAACGTGGCTACGTATCACTTGCGACGGGAGATCGGTACAGAGAGTCCGCGAGAGAAACTGTTGCTTGCTCTGAGCGACCGAGCGGTGATCTACAAGAGAATAGCGAGAGAGAGAAAAGTTCGAGACGTTAAATTCCTACGGACGATTGGGGTAACACTGTGTGGGAAGTTGCGATATGGAAAAAAGTCGCGATCTTCTCGAACGCGCGGCGGGGGTTGAAAGAGTGTGCGCCTATCGCATTTGGGAACGGGAGTGTATCAAGTGTCTCGAGGTCTTGAGAGATACATGTGAGAATAGAGTCGATCCTACGATTATCGGAACGATAAATTCTCTGGTCTCTCGAGTAGCGCAGTTGGAGGGTCCGAGATTCGCTTTGAGTCGACATTTTAGTTATTTGGGTGCAGGATACGACGGTTTGAAGGGAGTCGAATGAGTGGATATTGAGACGGCTTTCGCGAATCGCGTACGAATGGGTGCTGTGGTAAACATCGAGTACATCGAACCTCGACGGTTTCTCGAGGACGCGAGGGCTACGGTGCTCGAGCGAGTGCAAGTCGATCTCGATATGCACGCGTGTTTAAAGGTCAATACCTTTGTGTTTCATGGGGAGTTCGTCGCGAATAATAAGAGAGCTGTTAAGAGCATTCGCACGAGGAATTGTCAGTTATTCGATATGTCCGATTTACGAGAATGGTACGACGGAGATGTTATGAATGTTGTTCTGACGTCGCTGGAGGAATTTCAGGAATGCGATAGCGGTTGAGCGTTACTTCGGATATTAAATTTGATGATCAATGTAAACAAGTGTAATCCTATGCACGCTGGATGTTGGATGTCACTTGCTCCGAAGATAAGATATAAGAGAGCCGTGATTAATGTACGTTCAAACGACAACGCGTGTTTCGCGTAGGCGGTGATAGCCGCTCTATATCCCGTTGATCTATTCGGACAGACCGTCGTCGTATCCTCATTATTCGTTGGTGCTGAATTTCGATGGTATCGACTTTCCTATGACACTACGAAACATCGCTAGATTCGAACGTCTTACCGATTTGTCTATCAACGTATTTGTCATTCGAGAGAAAAGGGGGAGGAACGATATCATGATCGTTCCTTTATCGTTCACGGGGAACAAGAAGTCTACGCACGTAAATTTGCTCTATCTGTTGAACGAGCGGCGCGGCGATAACGTCGGTCATTTCGTATGGATTAAAGCACCTGTCTCTGTTAACATCGCAAATAAACAAGCATAGGAAAAAAATACATATGCGATCGGTAAAAAAGAGATTATGGTCGTCGTGAGATAAATTTTTTATTAACTATAAATTGTATTTTTCAGATGTCTACATTATTTTTACTCAGATGAGAAATTAGTCGCGCATAGCGTCGAGTGCGGAAGAGCGACTGCGCCGTTATTCTTCCGAATGAGGACGACAAGTTGTTCTCTTTTCACAATCACGACAGAAAGGAGAGATTACGATTCGTCGTGTATGCAGATCTGAAGTGCGTTTTAGAAAAGGGAGATCAACGATTCACTGGGGATCTTGACGATAGATTCGCTTATCAACACCACAAGGCGTTTAGCGTGGGATATTATTTGCGTAGTACGTACAATGGAATCGTATCCGTGTGTAAATCTCGCCGAGGCGACGACTGCGTCTCGTGGTTCGTCGAGGAGTTACGCGCTCTCGCGTGTCGCGTGAAGAAGGTTCTGTGCGCGAGCGTATCGATGTCGGAGCTCACGCCGAACGAGCGGAGTGCTTTTCAAAAGGCGACAAATTGTTACGTGTGCGGAAGGAGCTTTGGGTCGTACGATATTCGCGTGAGATCACTGTCATCTTACCGGACGGTACAGAGAACCCGCGCACGCGAGCTGCAATTTGAACTATCAGAACGCGTTCATTATTCCCGTTTTTTTTCACAATCTATCCGGTTATGATGCACATTTCATTATCAAGGATATAGCGAACGCTTTCGAGGGTAGAATCGATTTGTTACCGTTGACTAAGGAGAATTACATTGCGTTTTCGATAATCGTTAACGATTTGGTGTACGGAAAATGGAAAACTTGTGTTAAGCTATATTTCGTGGATTCGTTTAAGTTTCTCAATACTAATTTAGTTAAAAAGCTTCATATCTAGATCGGGAAAAATTGAGGATCTCGCGATTCGAATTTTCCGATCTCTCATCGCGGAGGATTTCGAGTTGCTCACGCGCAAAGGCGTATTTCCGTACGAGTACATTGATAGCGTTGATAAACTGTTAGTGACCGAATTACCGCCGATCGAAGCCTTTCACAGTTCTTTAACTGGCGAAACTGTGTAACTAGCGTTAGCGATTATGAACACGCGCGAAGGATATGGAAGCGTTTTCACGTGAGACCTCTCGGCGAATACAGCGATCTATATTTGAAAACGGATGTGCTTCTCTTGGCGGATGTTTTAGAAAATTTTCGAGATACTTGTATGGAAGGTTACGATTTGGATCCAGCGCAATATTTCACATTACCGGGATATACGTGGGACGCTATGTTGAAATACACAAACGTTCGATTCGATCTGCTTACCGATATCGATATGATGATGTTCATAGAGTGCGGTATACGCGGCGGTTTGAGTCAATGCTCGAACAGATACGCGCGAACTAATGACCAATCGTCATATGATTCGTCTCAGCCGTCGTCGTATCTCATGTACTACGATGTGAACAATCTCTACGGCTGGGCCATGTGCGAACCTTTACCGTATGCGGAATTTCGGTGGGTCGAGAATGTCGAGGGTCTCGACGTTATGTCCGTGTTATCTGATTCCGATGTCGGTTATATTCTAGAAGTCAATCTCGAGTATCCGCGATATCTTCACGACGACTACGCGGATCTTTCGTTCTGCCCGACGCACGAGAGACCGCCGGGAAATCGAAACGAAAAGCTTTACTCGCCACGCTCTACGACAAGTCGCGTTACGTGACGCATTATCGCAATCTTCAGCAGTGTGTGCGACACGGTTTACGCGTGACGAAGATCTATCGCGCATTACGGTTCGCGCAGTCTCCTTGGCTGCGCGCGTACATCGAGCTCAATACAGAACGGAGAACTCGCGCAAGCAACGAGTTCGAGAAGAATCTGTATAAGCTGATGAACAACGTAGTATTCGGCAAAACAATGGAGAACGTGCGCAATTACGTAGACGTGAGATTCGTTACGCGTTGGGACGGGAGATATGGCGCGGAGGCACTGATCGCGAAACCGAATTTTCACAGTAGGAGCGTCTTCGACGAGAATCTCATGGCTATCGAGTTGCGCAAACTCGAGGTTCAGTTTAACAAACCAATCTACGTCGGTATGTGCATTCTAGAGATCCAAGATGCGATTGTACGATTTTCATTACGATTATATGATGCCGCTCTATCGCTCTAAATGCAAAATCATGTACACGAATACCGATAGCTTGATATATTTCCTGGAATGTCGAAACGAGAATATGAAGCAAGATATCACGAAATTCGACACCAGCGATTACCCCGACGAATACGCGTACGATATACCGCGCGTGAATAAGAAGGTTCTCGATTTGATGAAAGACGAGAACAACGAAGCGATCATGACGGAGTTCATAGGACTCAAGGCGAAGATGGGTACGCGTCTGAGAGTTTTGGGAAAGAGCGATATGAAGAGAATAAAGGGTGTCAAAAGGAGTACCGTCGCGAAAACGATAATGTTCGAGGATTTCGCGCGTTGCTTGAACGAATCGTCGCAGCAATCGAGACGTCAGGCGTGTATACGCTCGATGCTGCACGAGGTTTATACCGTGTTCGAACTAAAGCTAGCTTTGAGTTCTCATGACGACAAGCGATACTTAATACCCGACTCCACCAATACATTACCGTGGGACCATTATAAGATACCGTTATTAGATACTAATGTAGTATACAAAATTTGTACCAATGTAGAATAAGTAATACTGTACATTCTTTATTCATTATAATACAGCTGTTTTATGAATCCAAGAGTTATGTGTATTGTCCATTCCTAACCATTTGACGAAAACTCTATCGTTCTTTCTATGTAGCACTTTTTCTACGAGATAGATATCGGGATTGGAAATTCGTGTTCGTAAAACCCTCCGGCTATTGGCTCTTTACAATAGTCTTTCAGCAGATACGTCACGGGATTTGTGCATTGTACCTTAGCGATTCGAAAAATCTCGGTCTTTCAGTTAGGCGTATATCTCTTCTCGAAAATCGTTTTGAACTTGCTGACGCCTACCGGATCGTTCACCTTGAATCTTGCGGGGGCTGCGATTTTCAAATGACTGTATACCGTGGAGAGGAGTCTCTTGGCAATGGCGAGAGTTACGTCCGCCGGTCGCATTCCGATCGTTTGATGCGCGCGGTTGTTATACTCCGAGATTAAACGCGATAGAGCGTCGAGCCATCTGTACAATCCGTTGAGCGTGAAGAGCTTCCACGTGTTGTTTTTGAGAGTGCGATTAAATCGCTCCAACCGCCGCTTTCATCAACGAGTACGTCGAGTAGTGGCGTATATCGTACCTATCAGTAACCGCTTTTACGGAGGCGTTGTAGAACTCCTTGTCCTTGTCCGTTTGTAGATTTTGCGGATATCATCGTCGCGAAATATCTTGGATAACGCCGCGGCTACCTCGCTTCCGCTCTTGCTCTTCAGCGGCAAAACCCACGCGTATTTGCTCAACACGTCGATAACCGTCATCACATAGTTGTAGCCTTTGTTTCGTCGCGCGTACGGACGCATCTCATCGACATCGGCCTGCCACAGGTCGTCGTAACCGCGCACCACGACTCGACGACGCGGGCGCGTGAAGCTCCTCGACGAGTCTTCTCTTCTCGACGCTCATCGCTGATTTACGAGGAGGCGCGATTCGCGTTGGTTTTATTCGTGCTTCTCGCTTCGCGCGTTCGTTCCTGTTCCTTGTTCCAAACGTTAATCGCGTGTTTCATAGTATTTGGAATATCCATTTTTAGTGTGACTAGTAATTCGTTTATCGTTTCTCTAGTCACTATTTTATCTACGTTCAACGAGGCCAGCGTCTTGTCCAATGTCTCTCTCGTTACCGCTTTGTCCGTCAGTTCTCTCGTGATCCTCGTCAGATCTGTCACGCTACGCGCGAGATTCTCCACGTTCGTCGATATTCTCTCGCGGCTCGTCCATGACGCGTCGAGCTCGTTTCGCAGGGATTTCTCTAGATTTCGCAGTGATTCCTTTAGGATCTGCGTTCGTTTCTCCTGAGCGTCGCCGAGCGTCTCGACGATCTTTGGGATCTCGCTCGAGTCTCTAGCTCGCACTTTGTCCTGTTTTTCCTCCATTCGTCCCAGCGCACGTTGAAACATGGATAGATCTTTAATTCGTTGGTTGTTCCGTTTATCGAGCACTTGTTTCGTTTCCCTTATTCGTTTATTGAGATCGACGAGTGAGGCCTCCCTCCTCTCCTTGATCTGTCGCAGTAATTCCTCTAGATTTCGCGTTCATTTCTCCTGAGCGTCACCGAGCGTCTCGATAATCATTCGGATCTCGGTAAGATCTTTTTCTCGCGATTCGTCCCGTTTCTCGAGCTCTCGTTCCATCGCGTCTCCTCTATTCGTTTTGTCGTGATCAACGAGCGAGACTTTTCTCTTCTTATCGAGGTGTCGCAGAACGTCCACTTCGGTTTTTACGTCGTAATACTGTAGGAGAATATTCGCTTGTTCATATTCGCTTGTTCATATCTTCCAGCTGTTTTCGTAGCTCATTCGTTAGAACTTTCGACTCCTCGCTCCTTGCGAAGCGCGTTGTTGCTGTAACCCTTGGTCGTCTCGTCGGTATCATCGATCGGCGTATCCAAATGGCGTATCTTGCGTCTGTTGACATCATAGTCGTCCGGATTAAGGCAGAGCGCGCTGCGACGCACTTACGTCCAGAGATGCGATCGTCGAACGATCGTCAACGCCGCGCTGTCTCTTCAGAGACTTTCCGAATTTGTTCATGGACATCATGCCCTCGCGGGTGACGAATCTACCGCGCGCGATAATCTGCTCGTAATCTTGGCGATCTGCGTATCGTATTTGAGAAACAATCTGGCTACGCGCGCCATAGATTCCTCCAATTCGCCGATCGATCTGGCCGTGCTCTCGTTCATTTCCGACAGCAACGTTCGAGTGCTCGCCGAGAGTTCGCTCGTCTCGGAGATCCTCGTTTCCGCATCTCGAAACGCGCTGTCCACGTACTTTTACTCGCGGCGTCGGAATCGGTTCTAAGTGCTAAACGCCGTATGGTTCAATATCTAGCGTCGTAGTAATCGTCACTTAGACAGAGTGCGTTGTTACGCACATAGCGACACAGAGAATCGATCGACGGTCGCGAGCGTGCCCTGTCGCCTCTGCCGAACGACTCCAACGGTCTTCCGAACTTGTTCACCAACATAACGAGAATACCGGTCGCCGCGAGCGCGCCGCGTTTTACTCGATCGCGTCAATCTCGCGAAGCTCCTCGAGTATCGATAGAATCTCGTTGTCGTGAACGTCGTTGCCAGCTCGTCGAGAGGCATCGAGCAATTGAAGACGATCGATTAGTTCGTTGGGATCGTCCCAATAAACGAACTCGATTCCTTTATCTCTCACCCGCATAGCAGATGGAACAGAGTCGATCTCGTTTTTTCTCGCTTTACCAGTACCAGCGCCACTTTTACCTCTATCGAGCAATAGCGGCGCGATGATATGCTTGTACTTAAAACCTTTGTTTCCTAGAATGGGCATAAGCGCGTTGTGGCCACGCCGATGGGCGTTCGTAGTCAACAGTATATTCTTGTACGTTTGCTTGTCGTTTTCCATGTACACGGCGTCGTCGAGAAGTCTCTTGAAGATCAATTCGTATAAGCCCGGGATACCCGGATATCGCATGTCGCCCACGATCACGCTGTTGTCGGCGGCAACGCCGAATCGCTTGTCGCCAAGCATCGAGCCGTCCAAATCGAAGTACACCCCGTAAACGTGATCGATCTCGCTTTGTCTGTCCCCGCTTAGAAGCGCGCCCATATATTTGCGATCTAACGGTCCCCATTGCGCATTAGAAATCGATTCTTCCGATTCGTTTCTAGTCGCGGGACTCACCGTCGCGATCAAGGGCGATCTCATCGAGAGGCGTCTCTTCGTTGGTTTCGACGGTGGCTCGTCGTCGTCGTCGATCTCGCGTTTTCTCTTAGCGCCGACGAATACGATCGGGTCGATTCCCTCGGTCGACTCGTCTCGCGCGGTGTTCTCGGCGATTCGTTTCAACGGCTGAACGATCGGCTTGAGTCGCCTCTCCAGCGCGATCTCCTCTTCCATCTCACCAGTCTTTAACTCTCTCTGTACTTTTTACGTATAGAATTCTGAGTCTTCGTGATTTCTCGCGTCTTTTTTCCTGCCGAGCGACGTCCGTACCGCAGCGTCAACGTTCATACTCGCAGCAGCGTCAACGTCCATTCTCGTAGCACAACTTATTGCTCTACACCACGGCGAAATCGTTAAATCCTCGTCTGTATCTACCATTCCTTAACGCGCTGTCCTTATCGATGACTACGAAACCATATTTGCGTTTCCAACACGCGCGACACAAGGCGTAAAAATTCTCATACGACATATCCGTGTTCATGTGCTCGTTGTAAACGTGTTTTAGGTTAGTGTCATCCTGTTTAACAGAATCAAGAGATTCGCGTTGTCGCGTATCAGGTGTTTTGGAATTTTAGCGTATGTCTGACAAAGATAGAAACAATCGATGTTCTAGTGTCGACCCAAATGGCGAAATATTCCCTGATCGCGTTCTGCTTGTCACAGGCCACGTCGTCAAACACGAATATGGAATCGGGAAGCGCCTCGCTCGGTGACACGTCGCTATTGTTCGAGAACGCGCGATAGCCGATCTCGTCCATCGACTCGAGCAGTTCCGCCAGGTATCGATACTTCGGTTGTTGCAGGGATTTCGAGTAGACGTACACGTTCTCAAAGCGCGCGCCGTGCGGACTTTCGAGCATGCTTATCACACATTCGTTTTACCGCAATTGGAGGGCCGCAAATGATGCAACGTATCGTATTCGGTAGTAGAGGGCTGTGTCTTCGCGCTCTCTCGACCGCGTCGCCCGAGATTCATCGAGCCTTACGGTCGAGATTGAGCACTTCTATAGCCGGCGACCGTCGAATGAATCGCATTTACGCGCGCTCGCTTCGAGGAGACGCGACCGATAATCGCTCTACTTATACTCGACGGCGATTCGATCGCGCACAGTGATCGGTATGTTTCCCCTATTGACGGACAAACGCGATATTCTCAATCTATCCGTCCAACAGTTGCGACTTATCCCGAAGTTTGTTCTCGTGCGCGATTTCGACAGATACGTGGAGCTGCTGTGGAATAGACTACTCGATCATCTGAGAGCGGACCCCGAGGTGTAACGTTGTTGCGTGTGTCTGGAGCATTATAATCGTAGCAACGATCGCATATAGACGGTCCTGCGCCTCTTATCAAAAATTGTAACGAATGCGGCGCAGGATTACTCGGCGATAAACGCGCTTCCCTTCGAACTACATATTCCCGGGTATCAATTTTGCGGGTTCGGCACTCATTTCGCGAAACGATTGGCGCGCGGCGATCGAGGCATAAATCCGTTGGACGCGGCGTGCCGCGAGCACGACATCACCTATTCGCGAAATAAGAAACTCGCCGATCACCACGACGCCGACCGAGCTCTCGTCGAGAAGGCACGCGAACCTATAACGGCCGGAGATTCCACCTTCGAGAGAGTCGCCGCGCCCTCCGTATGGGCTGCTATGAAAGCAAAAACAAAGCTAGGCATGGTTTGAGAAAGAAGAAGAGGAAGACGACGACAACGAGAAAAAGGATACTTCTAACGGTGAAACGCGGAGGCTTGTTACCCATTTTTCCGATATTAGGCGCGCTCGGTTCTTTGATCGGTGGCATAACGGGTGTCGCGAAAGTGGTAAACGCCAGTAAAACCGCACGGCATCAATTGGAGGAGTTGCAACGTCACAATCGAGCGATGGAGGATCACGGATTGCATCTAGCGCCTTACAAACGTGGCAGCGGTGTGACGAGAAGAACTAAAAAAAAAAATCGTGGAAGGAAATGTTAGGATCGCTCGAGTTACCGCTCTCTGGCATTACGACGAACGAACAGCTGAACCACTCGACGCGTCGTTTACGAGTACTCTTCTTCAGAGGAGTGTTTATGCGTGATGCATTATCATCGAAGGCGCGACGCAACGAGAGCGGCATCGTGAATCTCGACGACTCGCTCACTGGGTCGCCTGTGCAAAGAGGGGAAACGACGCGATTTACTTCGACGGTTTCAGCAATCTTTGATCGCCGAGGGAATTCGAGAAATATCTCGGCGTAAATATAACGTACAATCGCAGATCAGACGTACGATCAGAGCATTTGCGGTCAGTTGTGCCTGCGATTTCTCTCGAGGATCGGTCGCGATGTCGCTAAGTCTTTCGTTCATCGGTAATAGTAGCGTCCTCATGGCGTGCTATTTTCCCACTTTAGATCTGAGCGACGACGATTACGAGTTAGGTCTCACGAATTTCGAGACGTACAACACTATACCGAACATCGATTCCACGAATAATAAGTTCTATTACGACGACAAAACGATCGTGATTCCCGAGGGTTCGTACGAATTGAGCGCGATAGACAGATATCTGAACGCCGCTATCTCTA